AACGGCACATGTAAAGCATTTGGCACAGTGCTCCATCATCTAGTCAGTGGTCAGTTATGTTTCTTTTAGGAAAATTTAAATATGCTGAAAACTATATAGAGGAAAAATTAATGTCACTCAAACTTTTACTACTCTGAGATAACTAGCGATACATATTAATATAATTCCTCATGCTTGTAGTACATAAACTGTTTTATAATCTGTGTTTTGTTATGAACATTTTCCAACATAATTTAGTACTTTTTCATAATAGGAAATTTTTTTACTGATGAATTTTAAAATTTTATTTTTAAAGAATAGTTGACATACCATAACATGACTTTAATAGCTGCATTGTTTTCCATTGCATGGACATCACCTGATTTAATCAGCCAGGGTCCAGACATGTTTGCACACAAGTCTTTGATGCTTATCTTTGACTTTTTCTTAAAAGTAGATTCCTAGAAAGGCATTTGCTAGGTAAAAGATGTAACTATTTTGATGCTTTTGTCACTCTTTTTTCATTTTCTGTGTAGATTGTTTGATTTATAGTCATAGTGTAGAAGACCAGTTTTCCTTTCCTTTGGATTTTGTACTTGTCTCCTTGCTTTAATCTCATTTTATTTCAGTGCATTTTATTTTTAAAAAAATTTTTTTAGCCCTGACTGGTGTAGCTCAGTGGATTGAGTGTGGGCTGCAAACCAAAGGGTCGCTGGTTCAATTCCCACTCAGTTCACATGCCTGGGTTGCAGGCCAGGTCCCCAGTAGGGGGTGTGTGAGAGGCAACCACACATTGATATTTCTCTCTCTTATTTTGTCGTTCCCTTCCCTTCTCTCCAAAAGTAAATAAATAAAATCTTACAAAAACATTTATTGTTGACATTATTACAGATGTCTCCCATCCCCTGCCACCGCCTTTGCCTACCTTCAGCCAGCCTCTGGTCTCCTCCCCCCTCGCCCGTGCCCCCCCCCCCCCCCCCGGTTGTCACCACACTGTGGTCTGTGTCTATGGGCCATGAATCTATGTTCTTTAGCTACCCCCTTCACCTTCTTGTATCCAATCCCCTCACCCACTCCCCCTCTGAAATTTTTTCAGTGCACTTCAAACTCTGCTCAAAGCACATGCTTCCTCTGACAATATCTGATAATTTATTTTATTCCTTAACATTTTTCAGTTTCCTGCTATGAGTCAAAACTCCTTGGTTAACAGGGAGGTAAGACTTCAACTGCTAGTTTTCTCCTATTCCTACTCTTACCAACTTTATTTCTTATTATTTCTCCCTGTGAACTCATATTCATTATTTTCTAGATTGCATTTCTTTCCTTCAGTAAGTGCTCCTTACCTCAAAACTGATCTGTAAACTCCACTAGAGTGATTTCTTGATTCTTTCTCTCATCCCTTATCAATTTGTCTCCCTAGAGGATGGCCAGCACTGAACAGAGCTCATGTGTTAAACAGATATCTTAATTCATCTCAAGATTCATGCCTGTTTTTGTATTGCTTTGGAAAATGTGTTTTTCCAGTATCTCACGTGTGTGTTCTTTGCACATTGAAATTGCAGGTTCCTTTGCAGCAAAGGTTTGCTCTCCCAACAGTGTCAAGTCTAATGTGCCGTACTCGGCAGACACTGGATAAATTGGAATGGGATGGCTGACAGGTTTTCTTTTAAAGATGAATTGTGAAACATTTAGCAGCTTTTAAATTACACTTTGCACTCCAGGTAGCCATTTTGTTTAACGGACAGTAAATAGCTTTTGTAGCATAATGACCAGTGTCAGCATTCAGCCTACTAGGTTCCCAGAATTTAGATCCTTACTCATTCTGCTTCTTACCTTTCATTCTTTTCATCCACTGAGTGCTCTTTACAGGGTTTACTCCAGCCCTTTCCTTTCTTCCAGACTGAAGTTGGCATGGATAACATAAATGCATGCAAATTCTGTGAGATACAGTCCTTGTGACAGCCAAACTGGGGAGCTAAAATACCTAGACAGATACCTGTGTAAATACCTGTGAGTTCATTTGTGGCCCTTAGGTGGGTTTATTAAAAGAGTTTATAGCATTTGAGCCCGAATCTGAAGGACATCTGTTTGGCCATCCAAAGGATTGGCCAAAACCAATAGTTTGGCTGCTTCTGCTGAAAGTTATTGTGAAGATACAGAGTGGTAACAATGTACACTGCTCAGAGAAGTGTCAAGTACTTACTGCACAAATTTGAGATTCTGATAACAGTAACAATGCAGGTGGGTGTGGCAAAAGGGGGTTTACAATTGTCCATATGGAAAATAATACAATAACTAATAGGTAATACGAGAGTAACTCTGTGTTTCACATCCTCACAACTGCAAACCTACTTTTGCCCCACAGTGTATTACTGTTTCTGGAATAATTAGGTTATAAGAATGTGCAATTAAGGATATAAACTTCCAGTAGCTGTTATTGATTAAAAATAGGTAAGTGGTCCTAGATTTTAATTTTGTCTCTCACTTCATTTTTGAATTTCAGTGAAATTTGACATTTTAAAGTGCTCTTTGTATTGTATATTACTTGTGCAATAATTCCAATCTCAGTTAATAATATGGCAGCCTGTTTTTTAATTGAGATATAATTGACATTATATTAGTTTGATGTGTACAGTATAATGAATGATATGAGATTTGTACATATAGCAAAAGGATCACCACCAAGGATCTATCACCACACCCAGTCACATTTTGTGTGCGTGTGTGTGATAAGAACTTTAGATATCTGCTAACTCAGCAACTTTTAACTATATAATACAGTATTTATTATTCACTGTAGTCACCATGCCATACATTGTATCTTCAGGACTTATTTATTTTATAATGGGAAGTTTGTACCTTTTGATCAACTTCACGCATTTTGTACCCTTCTCCCCACCTCTGCCTCTGCTGATCACCAATCTGTTCTCTCTATCTGTGAGTTTGGTTTCTGTATTTTTTCCTTTTTTTAGATTCTGCACACCAGTGAGATCATATGGCACTCATATGACAACCTGGTTTTAAAGCACAGGTGCATGCTTGAGCATGAGGTTTTAACTGCCATTTGAATATATTTAGAGCATCATCACAATATAAGGTGATTTCTTGAAATATCTTGCAAGAATCTAGTATTTTGCTAGAATTATTTCTTTTTGTCCCTCCTGAGAATCTTTTCCAATGAAAAGAACTCTCTCTATAAAGTTATACTGTTTTAGAAATGAAATATCAAAGTGTAAATTCAATATAGCAAAAAATATAGGTTCTATTTAAAAGCCTATATCATAATTTTAGAAAAATAGATCAATGGACACAATTGGATGGGAAAGTATGGTGTGCTGTCAGTAATACAGAGTACACTAGTATTTGTGAAAAGTGCATTTTAGAATTATTTCCTGTACCTCACAGACATTTCCAAGGGAACAAAATGAAAGACAGATGTACATTGAATAGCCAGGTAATATGAGTTTAAAAATATTCTGCAGTGTGCCTCTTCATTGTCCAGTGTCAAGAGAAAATTGTTATTAAACTCTAGAATTATATATGTTGTACTAATATACTGAGTCCATTTACATTTTCCGGAACAACTTCATCTGTTCTGCACTAGGTGGCGGGCAGATAAATTGAACAACGTCTGATGATATTTTAAAGTTGTAATTGCCGCAGCGACTTACTTTCGGGAGTGTAAATATACATCTGAATATAAAAAGTGCTGCGAGCTGTATTCGGCTGCTCTGAAGACTGAAAAACAGCTTCCCCACCACTTCCCAGGGGACTTTTCCTGGAAGTCAGTTGTCATTGTTCTGTCACGTTTCTTTTCATCCTGAATTGTGCAACATTTAGAAGAAAAAATGTGAAGGTTACAAGAAACATTGTAAAGGTTATTTTCTTAATTACAGAAATATTAAAAATATATTAAACAATACAGATGTGTCTTTTTTTATTCTAGGCCCATACCACAGAGACAGTTCTTTTTAATAGTTTATTTTATTTTGGTTTCTAGTGGTTGTGAGTATAATTTTAAACAATATACATATGCCTTCATTTATCTCATCAATTTCAGACCCTATACACAGCAAGGAGATGCCTAACTCTTGGCATTTTCAGAAGATACGTTTTAAGAATTTCAGTTTCCCTGATTTATACATACTACTTTATCACTTAACTTATCCCTTAAAATTCTGTTTAACCGTGATTCTCAACTGGACGGCAGAAGAATATGCTATTTCCCTAGCCCACTGGAAGAACACATTAGAATCTTTGGGAAGGTCTTCGTCAAAATATACATGCCTTTCTTTCTACTTCCGTGCTTACCTGGTTGAAAATCAGTGCTTGTAACTTCAGATGTTACTAGTTGGCAGCACATCGTGCAATAGTATAGATGCAGAAAAAAAACAACAACCAAAAACGAGTTAAGAATAATGTGTATATGAAGGCCAAGACATTTAGGTGATGAACAGCTCTTTCTTTCTGGTTAAAGGATATCATTGTCTTAAGATACTTTCTTTTTCCATTTATCCCATCATTCCATTATTGGTTCATGCAGAGGGTTCTCCTTTCTTTTCGCTTCACGAGAGTTCTTGTGTGAGCATTAACGAGTAGAGAACAACCAAACAGAGAATGGATGCAATAGTGTAGGCAGACTTACTGCTGAGATGACCAGCTTCTGCCTTCTAGACAAGGGCAAGTCATAGTTATATCCAGCAACATTACTATTATGGGGCCTTCAGAGGTCAATGGAATAGTTGTTGAAACTTCAGGCACTAACTCCATGAATGAAAAACGAAATCCATCTTCTTTTATACTTTTCTACCTGGTATAAAACTCTTAGCAGTCTGTGATTCTGCGTATTTGAAGATTCCCCTCATTTGTTACAAGGGAGACTAAAAGTGGCAACGACAGGGATGTGCTGGTCCGAAGGGTTGGTTCCCCGGTGCTTTGAGCTCTCAGTGCAGCACCTAAGGCGAAGCGCAAAACCTCAGAGGAGACACACTAATGGGGCTCTCTGCCTGTTTTATTTGCAGACTGCGGCTGAATACGTAAAATCTCGACTGCCCGAAGCCCTTAAACAGCATCTGCAGGACTACGAGAAAGACAAAGAAAATAGTGTATTGTCTTACCAGACAATCCTTGAACAGCAGATCCTGTCAATTGACCGAGAAATGCTAGAAAAACTGACGGTATCTTATGATGAAGCAGGTATGTTTGTCTTTAATACACACTGAGTCACACAATTTTTTCTCCCTGAAGAAATTTCTTTATAGATGAGTTCAATGTAAGTCCTTTTCTGAGGTGGAAGTTGAAGGGCAAACCTGACTCAAAATTATTTATCATGGATTAACAGTGAGTTTCTTTTCTGCAGTTTTAGTATCAAAGATTTCATTAGGAGATCCTTAAAAGTGTCTCTTAAATATCAAATTCCTTTTAAATGTTTGCTCTTTTTAAAATAGAACTTTCTCACCTTTTTTTCAATCATGTACCCTTACTGATTTAATCTTTTAAAGTGGCACTTCAATTTTGGATACCAGCTGAAAGCTTTTACAACCGATGATCCAAGAACTGTTATTTGCTTCAGGAATTAATTTCAGAGGATTTCTTTTCTAAAGAGGTGCCATTTTTCTTCTTAAAGTTTCAGGCTGAACTTGATTTTCTTTTTCTTTAGCTCTTCATTTGAATCCTAGCCCCTCATACCATACCAGATACTTCAGTTCACTGCCTCCCACAAGTTCATCCCATCTAAGGGCATAGACAGACCTCCTTATTAAACCATTTTTATCTACTACATGGTCTGTCAGCTGAAACCCAATTTTAATGAAATGAGTGCAATATTAAATTCCTAAATTAATATTCAAATTATTAAAATCTTTAGTGAAATTGAAGTTAGGATAAATATCCTGATTAAAACTGCCATACTTTCCTCAACGCAACAAAATGGAGAAAAAAGTATAGGAAAATAGGATTTAAATGGTCAAATGTTGATAGTATCAATCCCTATTTTCTTTTTTTTTTTTTAAATTTTATTTAGTTACTTTTCAAGTACATTTTTTTTCTCTCCCCCCCCCCCCCGTCTCCTCCCTCCCTCCCATTCCCCCCGCCCAAGTCCTCATCTCTGTGTCTTTCATACTTGTTCCTCAAAATCCCTCCCCCCTTTTTCCCCTTAAGTTCCCTTCCCTCTCCCCTCTGGTCGCTGCCCACTTGTTCTCTATTTCAGCGTCTTTGTTTTTATTCTGTTTGCTTGTTTGTTTTATTCTTTAGCTTCCTGTCAAAGGTGAGATCATATGGTATTTGTCCTTCAGTGCCTGGCCTATTTCACTCAGCATAATGCTTTCCAGTTCCATCCATGTTGTTGCAAAAGGTAGTAGCTCCTTCTTTCTCTCTGCTGCATAAAATTCCATGGTGTATATGTACCACAATTTTTGGATCCATTCATTTACTGATGGGCACCTAGGTTGCTTCCAACTCTTGGCTATTGTAAATTGTGCTGCTATGAACATTGTGGTGCATAGGTTCTTTGACATTGATGTTTTAGGATTCTTGGGGTATAATCCTAGCAGTGGAATTGCTGGGTCAAAAGGCAGGTCAATTTTTATTTTTCTGAGAAAATTCCATACTGTTTTCCATAATGGTTGTACCAGTCTACAATCCCACCAACAGTGAACTAAGGTCCCCTTTTCCCCACACCCTCTCCAACATTTGTTGTTTGTTGCTTTGTCTATTATAGCCATCCTGACTGGTGTAAAGTGGTATCTCATTGTGGTTTTAATTTGCATCTCTCTGATAGCTAACGATATTGAGCATCTCTTCATGTGACTCTGGATATTCTGTATGTCCTCTTTAGAGAAGTGTCTGTTCAAGTCCTTTTCCCATTTTTTAATTGGGTTCGATGTCTTCCTAGAGTGGAGTCGTGTAAGTTCTTTGTATATTTTGGAGATTAAACCTTTGTCTGAGGTATCATTGGCAAATATGTTTTCCCATACAGTTGGTTGTCTTTTTTCATACAGGATCTTCTGTTTTTATTTTTACAAGGACGCTATTAGTATGCATCTTATTTTCTTTCTCCTGATCTAAGCAGTCTCAGTGGTGACATTCTTAACATTTGATTTCAAGCCTGAATAGCGAACAGAAGAGCAAATTAAAAAACAAACAAACATTACACTACATAGGCCTAACCACTAACATAAGTGTTTAAGTTATTAAACTGTCCCCATTTATATTCTACCATCAATGCCTTTGCGTCCCTCTCAGACAGTATCCACATTTCTAGCCTTGCCCAGGGCACTGCTACTTTCTCCGATTCTCTTTGACTTTATTAATTTTCCAGACACATTGCCTTTCTTCCTCCTTCTGGGTGGTTAGGTGTTTGGTTTCTGTATTTGCCTTGTTTTTAAGATTCCTGTCTTTGGAATTCTCATTCCACTCTCCTCTCATTCCTGATGAAGCGAAGTAATGGAAAACTACCACTGGCCTAATCAAAATAATATTTAAATATTTACAGCATATCAGAGATCATGGAACTCGCATGTCTCACTAACTTCCTGCCCCCAAAACCATTTTATGAAGAGAAAACCGAGACCACAGACTTGCCTGCAGTATGACGGTTACTTTGTTGTAGAACAGGGCCTCCAGCCTCCTATTACAAATCGAGTGGGCTGTCACTGCACTTGTGTGGGTTCTCAGTCACTCAGTTGGCACTTGTTAGATGCACAGTGATGTAGTAGGCAGTTGGGAGAAAGAGGGAAGTGTGTCGAAAAGGCAGGGAAGAGTCTGAGATGTTGGAAACACAGATCTTGTTTAAAGTCTAGCTGGGGAGCTAAAACACCCATGTCTGACTTCTAGATAAAAATTTCTGAGGAATTTGGGCATAAGTATACTTTAAGATATTCATAAGCTATTAGTTAAGCTGGGGGGGGCAGTGTGGAGTAAATCAATAGTGAAAGTGGCTCAAGTTTTCGATGGGATTCTTCAGCTGAGGGCATTAGTTTAAATCCTGAAGAACAATGATGAATGTGGGTTTGTGAAGATGAGAGAGATGCGGTCTATGGGATGAAGGGCCCCCGCGGACACCAAGGGGGAGAGGAACAGCAGCTGCCACCTCTCACCACTCAGATTTTCCTTCTTCAGGATAGTTGTCCACTCACCTGCAGTGTTGTTGAGCCCCTACTAATCCGCAGAGGTGCATGTGTCCATGGCCTTTGGCAGACAGTGCTTTGGCACAGAATTAATGGGTCCATACACTCTGCAGCGTGAAACAGTGGAAGTCACTATAGGACTGAGAGTCAGAGAATCTAAATTCTAGGCTTTTGTTATCCTCTAGCATAATAGTGATCTTGAGCAAATTAATGTCTTAGAGCCTCTGTTTCTTCATCTATAAATTTGAGCTAGTAATATCTCACAGGGTTATTATGATAAAGTGCAGTCAAACCTCAGTTCTCAAAACAAATTGGTTCTTGACCAAATTGTTCATGGGGGAAAAAACGTCTCAGCTGTCTAGCGAAATTTCGGGTCTTGATTCTCTACCAGGGACCCCTCCCAGGCTGATATCTGTATGATCAGTCACGGTCTATCAGGCCACAGCAAAGGAGATTCTGTTTATAGACAAATCGATTCTCGAGATCCCACTGTATATCATATTTAAGGAAGTCCTTACAAATCCTATTACATATGCACTAATGCTGAATGAGCGCGAATTTGGTTCTCGTCTGTCCCTCAGACCAATTTAAAGTAGTCATAATTTCTTTCTTGGTGTGTACTGTTTGGGGTGGCAGAGGCAAATTTTTTTAAATGATCTTCAGAAGCTTTGAGAAGTCAAGCAACATCTATTGTTAAATCAGCCACTCTGGGCTCTCTCTGCCCTTGGTCATTTCTGCATCGGGGGACACATTTGGTGGGGGCTATGTATGTATGAGTGAGTGAATGTCACTGTTATATCGTAAAAGCAAAACTGCCTTCTCCCACATTGCCTATAAATTAAGGATCACATTCAAAGAACAAGGAGAAAATAAGAAAATTTATTGCTGTTAGAAAAATAGTTAACCATGATACAAAAGAACCAGGAAATAGAATAGAAAAGTAGCAGTAGTATCTAATACCTTCAGATCTAAACATCGTCTGCTAAGACATTCATTTCCTTCAACTGCTTAGCTTCTTTCCCTGCTCTCCCAGTTTTTACTTCTTCATAGTCTTAAGCCAGCCCTCCCAGTTTTAGGAAGTAGTTCATTGTTAATTAGAAGATCTCCTTGTCTGTGGAGAGGTTAATTTATCCTTCATGCCCATTCACTGATAAATCAGCCTTGTGACTTTAGGACAGTTACCACTGTCTGTGGCTTTGAAGCATCTAAAAACCAATTAATAAAAAACCCTTAGATATCTGTCTAAAAGCATTGGATCAGAACCTTTTGTCTCATCTCTCTCTTCTCTGTCTTCCCCTCTCAGCTTCCTCTCTTCCCCATTAAATACATACATATCTTAACATTTCATATACTTTTCCACAATCCAACTATCCCGCAACCTGAGATTCAGCAAAGAAATGGGAAGGAAGCAAAAGCCACATGAAACCCTATGGTGTCACAGAAGCTTTGGATTTTCACTTAGAATCTCTATATTCTCATTTCATATAGCTCTTACCAGTTAGGTTATGTTTTACAATGTGATATTTAAAAAAATTCTTGTTCTAGCCCACATAGCTCAGTGGATTGAGTGCAGGCTGCAAACCAAAGGGTCTCTGGTTTGATTCCCAGTCAGGGCACATGCCTGGGTTGCAGGCCAGGTCCCCAGTGGGGACTATGTGAGAGGCAACCACACATTGATTTCTCTCTCTTTCTCCCTTCCTTCCCCTCTCTAACAAGAAGTAAATAAAAATTCTTGTTCTGACATTGAGTGTTACATTTTTATTACAGAAACAAATAGAAATAAGTAGAATGGTGTCATAAAAGAATAATAATCTTCAGTAACCCTACCGTTGTGAACACTTCGTATGTTTCCCTCACTCTAAGCATTTTTGAAATGCTATTGATATCTAGCAGGGTTATATCCTACTTTTTTCACTTAGCATTATTACATAAGTGCTTCTTCATTTTATTAAAACCTCTTCACGCGACAGTAATTTTAATGGCTACATGATATTCTATACTTTGAAAGTACTACTCACTAAACATTCTCCTATGTTGAACATGTATGGTTTTTGCTTTTGTTATTGTAAA